ATGAGCCCTTTAGACTTCTATTATGTCTCCTTGCAACAGAAGAGGCTTTTGAAAGGGGTGAAACAGCTTGGCAGAAGGGGCTGCTTATTTCCCTTGAAGGACAGCTATGTTTATAGCTACAGTCAGACTTCCTCCAGGGAAACTCTTTATTCCACAAGTCTGAACTGTACTTACAGCTGTCTTCCCCTTCAGAAAGCTGCTTAGCCCATGGGCTACGGGATGATTTCTCCTCCTCCTCCTTCCAGTGTCATACTGGGGCTTTTTGTCCTCTTCGCAGCCCTTCCAGTTAGCAAAGGGGGAGGTAGGTTCTCTGGAGTCAGCAGCCTCTTACCCCTGGGCTGTGCTCTCCCGGCCTTGGGTCTTCAGGAGCAGGAGGCTGCCTGCTGCTCCGTTTGCCCCGTGGTTAACGCAACAGAAAGGCACAGCGCATATACCTGTCCCAGAGCTTGTGGATCAGTTATGCAGCGACCCTTTTCCAGTGGAGACAGCCTCCTTGCCCCTTTTGTGTGTGTGTGTGTGTGTGTGATGCCTTCAAGGAGAGGTGGCCAGGGCTTGCGTGGCTGGGGCTCTACTAAGAGGAAGAAAAATTGTTTACCAAGAAGACAAGGAGGAGAGGAGCCAGTCGTCTTCCTCACCCTCTCCTTTGGGCTGGGCAAGGCTTCCAACTTTCTGTAAGTGTGGTACGTACAGCATTTCCGTGAGCTGGCAGAGTGGAGAGAGGCAAGCTTGAGAGTACAGTAAAATGAGTTTGCCATCAAAAGGCAACAAGTCTTATGCTGTGCCCCCGGCTGCTGACCTTTCCCTCTGGAATTCTCCCCTCTGACCTGCGGATCATTAATCCTGATGCTGCCAGATGACAGTAATCCATCATGGCCCCTGACAAGCCTTGCAGCCGCCTGTGAAAGGATCCGCTCTGCTTCAGCATCCAATCGTCCCCTGATACTCGTTTTTCAGCCTTTCCTGTTCAGGCGCTGGGGTTTTCCAATAAAGACTTTATCGCCTTGCTTTTCCTCGGAGATGGGCTGGGGGAGGAGGGGGCTGGAAGAGCAGCCTTTCCCCACTTCCCATCTCTCTCTCTCTCCGTGAGCTCCTCTGAAACGGACTGAGCTCTGGCCGACTCGATGAAGAGTACAGATAATTCGCCAGGTCCAAAACCCCAGCCCCTCTCCCGTTCCCTGGCCCGTCCCGCTTCAGAGAACGTTGCTTAGAGAGGCCTTCTGTTATGCAAAAGTATAAAAGGAAAATTACCCCATCTCCCCGTATAAATGCTAGAATGATAAAATTAGTTTTGTCCCTGCTGTAAAATTTCTCTGCCTGCTTAAATTTTACAGGAGGGGAAAAAGAAGTGGGGGGAAAGAAAACATAGCTTTTAGCTTAGTTTATAGAGTTGCTAATTAAATTCCAGGGCACTTCAATCTGGAGGTCTTGTTTAAAAGAAAACTTCAGGAAGGGAAGGTGTCAAAAGGGTGGTAACATGAGGCCTGGAGGTCAGATCTGATTGCTGTTTCGGCTCCAGCTATGAACAGGCTCCCTGGAAGTGCATTTTAAGCCTTTATTTCTCTCTAATGTAGGCGATGTTTGTCTTTATCACAGCGGTGTTTGGATAAGTTTCCTTGCATGTGTTTTCACATCCTGAGATGGGAGAGTCTAGAGAAGGGTGAAACCTTGGGACAAATGCAGAGTTTTGGAAAGCGGCTGTTTTGTTACGTTTCCGTACTAGCGGCTTGTTTGCCGGAGGAACCTTACACGTGACCCTTCCCTTTCACTCTCCAGCTACCCCATCTGCTCGCGGCCCAAGGAGAGAGCTGGGTGAAAGTCCCTGCTGGACAAGTTAATACCATTCGCTAAATTGGATTGGGGAAAAGCGGGTGGCTTGGGGTTGCACGGGATTGCTGCGGGAGCAGGGGGAGAAGGTCTCAGTCCTGCCCTAGCAATGCGAAGGCTTTGCCTAGCAGCATGGTAGTGCTAATAGCTTTCTTAGCGGTTTACCGTGTTGGAACACTTTGGCTTTTGTCGCTGCTGGGGCAGAAAGGACGAACTGCCAGTGAAGGGCCTTTTTTTGTGATTTGTGGTTTTCTTTGGCAGGGGGAGGAGGGTAGGAAGAGCTACCCCTACCTCTTTGCTAGGGGGTATCCAAGATAAATACTTTACTGCTTTTGCATTTGGAGAGGGCTGGACGTGCCTGCCTGGTTACTATGGCTCAGCTGATGAATGATAACTTAAGGCTGGTAACATGATCGCTTCCAGCCCGCCGCGTGGGTCTGAAATGACACTGTTACTGTGCTCTTAATCTTTGTTATAACCGCGCGCACCAAGGCGAAATGGTGGGCGAGGAAAAACCAAACCAAACGGAGGATCGCATTCATACGTGCTGATCTTTGGGAAAGGACCGGTTCCTGGCATGGGCCGGCTGGCTGCAATGAGCGGAGCCAGAAGGCGTTCGGGCAATTTGGGAACGTTTCCCTCTCTGCTTCCTGAGGGAACTGTAGCATATGAAATGCAGGAAGAGGATCTGATGCAGTTTATGAATGATAGCTTGGAAATTACTGTTTTATGGACTTTTCTGTTGTCGACAGGGAAGGGATTGTTTAGACAGAAGGCAAGTAAAAGAAGATAGGGTAGATATAAAAGAGCAGAGAGTACAGATGAAGCCTGATGAGATTGCTGTTTACTTTTTCTTATAGTTAAGAGTTACTAACTTAGTGAAACTGAAGACAGCCCTTTAAAACTCTAGAAGTTTACTTTTTTTATCCGGCATCTCATTAACCTGCGGGAATTGTTGCCATGGGCTAATGCATAATAGGCTTCAAAAAAAAAAAAATTACACAGTTACACATATAATGAGAACATCTGCAGAGCTGAGCTGAACTCCTTTTCACTAAACAGAATAAAACCCATTTATAAGGGCCATAAACTGCTCTGCTTCAGGGCATTAACCGAATCACTCGCTGATGAGCGGTGGCAGAAGTCTCCCCTGTGGGTTGAGTATTCCATAATTGTCCATTACGGCATCTCGTAGGCTTTCCTGTAAAGACTGGTGCTGACCATTGTCGTAGACAGGATACTGACCTCAGATGGACTGCTCTTTGATCCACGACAGTATTTCCTATGTGGAATAAAAGGTTTGCTACATCAGCGTTTTTTTTCCTCTTCCTTTCCTTTCCTAAATCTCATTAGTTTGACCTTTTAAAACCCCCTACACTTTATCACTCTAAGGTGCTGCTAAAAGCGCGCTATCAGGTTAAAAGTCAGATTTTCGTACCTATGTTAACCCATAAGATGACCAAAACTGAAGAGGAAGGGCAAAGCTGTTTCCCAGCATCTGCCCTGTGCAAGCAAGGATAGAACCGTCCCCTGTTTTGTGCATTTGGATGCCTGGGTGCTTCTCTCAGCAGTGCAGCACTGGTGAGGATGCCTGGCTTTGCAGCAGACTTGCAAAACTGGGTTGTTGTCCAGCAGTATGATCTAGTTCTCTCTAGCTAGGCTAAAGCGAGTTTGTATCTCCATCTCCTAACCCTGAGTGCGATAATGATGGGGAAGCAGTCAGTGTCTGAACTGAGATGCTCTGATGCGCTCTTGTGCCATTTGTTTATTCACCTACAACATCAACCCCATGTTTCTAGCTCTCTTGCAGCAAGCGATTGCTCCAGCAGTTGGGTTGCGCTTGTAACCAAGGTACATAGGTAGCCTCATCCACACATCTCACGTTGCCCTGTTATCTGCCCCCAAGTCCCATTTAGTAATGGATTGGGGTTTGATTTGTAGGTTTCTGTAGGTTTCTGATCTCTTAGAAACTGTAGCTGAAGGTCTACGTGCATCCAGCAAGTATCTCTTTAAACATAAGCAAAGCAGAAAAGAGCTTCAATATTTTCCTGCGTTTGGGAGAAGTTTGGTCATGGTGGAGGGGAAGGCTTCCTTTTTAATGGAAGGTGGTCCCTAAGTGCAGGAGACAGAAGGTTTTGAGACAATTCCTCAGTCTCCTTCCCCTTCTTTGCCCACCTCAAAGAAGAGCCAGGATGAGCAGAGATGTGATAATGCACAGGATCAGCATTCAGCTCACTAGTTTAGCCTTTGCATGAGTGGGAAGTGGTGAAGCAACATCCTGCTAACATCTTCACAGGAGAATTGTCTTGGCTGATGATGCCGGAAAGCTTTTCCATGTTCTCCTGCCCAACACTGCTCCTGCCACATATAAGTCTCTGGCAGAGAAGGGGTGCTGAGCTGGAAGGACCTAGGTCAGTATGGCTGTTAATAGACTAAAACCAGCTGTTATCTAATTTCTCTCTGCGTGCCCAAACGCAGAGAGAAATACCTCATGTTGGTATCGCATGAGGACTGAAAGAGCTTTTAAAGTAGGGGAAGTAGCATTTAGGAGCTGCTTTAGGGAAAAGTGGGAGGAAGAAAATGCTTTGTATGAGCAGAAGCCGTAGCAAAATGTTATACCTATGTTTGTGAGAGAGGACAGAGAGCAAATGTATGTGGGAGAGAGAGAGAATGCTGCCAAGTGTCATGTGCCCCTTTCCGTTTTTGTTCCCAAGCGTACAGCGTAGCAAATACTGGGGAGAGAAATCCCGATGAACGAGTAGCTCATACTGCATGACTGTTCAGCCCCTTCCTGAGTGTGAGTGGTACAGATTTTTATCTGAGATTGCCCTGGGAGTTCATAAAAAATGATTCCTCTGTGCTGCTGCCTTGCCCCAAGGATTGAATAGACCCTACTTCCCCTCTTTCTATTTTAGAAGTTGCTCTTAGCTGCAGGTTATTATTTGTCTGATAATTGCTTTTGCCTACAGGAAGGGGTTTTTCATGAAAAGGACGTGCCGTGTAGCTACACTTCTCTGGCTCATTTACTTGCCCACAGAGAGGCCTCAAGTCAGGCTACAAATAGAATTGCCTGAATTTCCTATTAGAAAGAAGATCAGTAGCACCAACCTGCTGGTTTTCTTGGCCTCGTTTTCTCTGTCTGACTCTGTGTTCCCTTCCTGGCTGTTTCACTGCAGGAACTCCCATCAATCGGATCCCCATCATGGCAAAACAGATCCTGGATCTCTACATGCTCTACAAACTGGTGACTGAGAAGGGAGGGCTAGTAGAAATCATCAACAAGAAGATCTGGCGGGAGATCACCAAAGGCCTTAATCTGCCCACCTCCATCACCAGTGCCGCCTTCACGCTTCGAACCCAGTGAGTCTAGAACATCTGAAAGCATGGATGTGAACACAAAGCAGGAAGTTGGGAGTGCAAAACAGGGGCTGGGAAGGAAAAACTGAGAGAGTAAGCTCTGCTCTTTGGAAAGAGAGGAGCTGATGAATTGCTTTATTTAGCCCTCTCCTTCCATCTCTCCCACAGCTTGCAGTCTTCCTTGTATATTCCTTCTCCCCTTGTTTTTCTTCAGTTGCGATCTCTCCCTCCCTACAATCCTAGCACTAATATGCTGTGGCCGTGTTTGCTCTGTGTGATCTCTGCCGCTCTCCATCCTGTGCCTGCCTTGCCTGTTTAGAAGTTAAACTCCTCAGGGCAAGGAGTGACTCCTGCTCTGTAGAGCACCTGGCACAATGGGGAGGGAGGGAGGGAGGGAGGGAGGCCTACTGATGTGTAGGTATCAAGTATAAACTTGATCATTTAATGTCTGTTATCACTATTAAGCTACGGAAATGTGTATTTAGCACCTGGTCACTGTGAGAATTGCTTTTCTGACCTGTAGTATCTCACATTGGTTAGACAAGTTACAAAAAAAAAAAGACACTCTTAAGGAAGAAAAAGAGTAGAATAAGCAGAAGAGGAATAGTAAAAATAAATGTACTGTAAAGTTTAAGCAACAGGGTTAAGCTGCACTTAGTGACTAAAGCATGGAAAGCTGAGCTCTGGGAACCCACACCCAGCTCCACCCCCAGTTAGTTCTGTGGCTGTGGAACAAACCGTCTATAAAATGAAGGTTTTTAGGCTGCAGTGATGTACCCTGGTATAGTGGCTTGCATGAGGCCTTGAGCTCTGTGATCAGTAGATCATGGTTTCAGACAAGGACTCCACGGGAGCCATGTTCTCTGTGTCACTGCAAACCCTGGGTGCAGAAGGAGGCGTGAATGATTGCTGTGTAATGCAGTGGGTGTACAGCTGGGGGCAGTGTATTTCAGGAACTTGGCAGCAATTCAGGCTCTTGGCTACTCCGATGGCCTCTTCCCCTGGCCAAAGGGATTGCCTCCAAGAGGGCCCAGGCTAGGCTTTAGCTGTGATCTGGGTGCTTAGTTACAAACTGGTAGTTGCCATTGCGAATACCAGTTTTCCTGCAAGTTATTAGAGCCTCTGAGTCACAGAGAGGGAAGCTCCTTGCCATTTCTACAGCCTTTGGCACAAACAGACTGTCTCCTGCAAAGCTCTGTGCCAGATTTCAGCAAGAGCAGTAAGGTTTTATACAGACCGATGCTTCCCACCACAAGTAAGACAAGATAGCTCCTCAGTTTTCCCTCACTGTAGATATGTGTTATGGTTCAAGATCTTAATTCTTATAACTATAGATAGCTCCTTAGTTGTAAAGGAATATTTGATGATGCTTTTCTGCCCCTGTGGATACAGCAGTATGGTAGGCACGTGCTTCCCTGCGAACACTGGGTTGACTGAAAGTTTCTCCGAGAGAGCTGTGCCTCACACCAGAACTGTCGTGTTCACCGAATCAAGCAAAGCAGTGATCGTGGTATGCCAACAAAGACTCCAGATCTGTGGAAGACCTCAGTCTGATAGTCTTCCTGAGTGTGACGCTCGGTGCTACAGTCTCTTTTTCATGTTCTGTTGAGTATACCTGCTTGAATTTCCCTGTCCTCACCTTTCTCTCAGGTATATGAAGTACTTATACGCCTATGAATGCGAGAAGAAATCCCTCAGTTCTCCTGCTGAGCTGCAGGCTGCAATCGATGGCAACAGGCGGGAAGGCAGACGGCCCAGCTACAGCTCCTCTTTGTTCAGCTACTCACCCACCACTACAGGGCCTCCTTCCCTCCTTTCTCCCCCAAAGATCCGCTTCCCAATCATCGGCGTCGCGCCAGGCAGTGGGACCAGCAATCCTCGCGTGTCTCCAGCAGCAGCTGTCAGAAAAGGTCAGCTATTTGTGCCCACATCAGAGCGGGTGGCTCGGTTAGAGGTGTAGGCGGTGGAACTCAGTTGTTTTCCGTTTTGTCTAGTTTGGACTCGAGAGTAATGGGACTCGGGTAGCTAAGGAGCTGCAGAATATTCTGACTGCAGTTTAACCTCTTCATGCTCATACTAGATTTGCTTTGAATCCAAAACTGTCTTAAGGAGCTTGTAGCTTTGGGGAAGAAGGAACAATAACAGAGCAAACAGAGGTTTTGGTGTAGCTGGGAATTGCTGTGGCTTTGGACATGACTCTGCTGCTGATTCTCACGTGGCCTTTGGCGAGGCTTTTAATCTATCTTCATCCATCCTCCTTTGTGTGTGAAATAGATAATGCTGCTACTTGCAAGGGTTTAAGAAACTTTGTTATTTTCCTGGAAGGGAGAAATGCTTGGAGTGATGCTGTAGGAAGCTGTAAAAACAAGTATTCATTATTTACAGAAGTATCCTTAAGAAGAAGTTAGAGTGCAGTGGGAGTCACTTTGGAATTACAGACAGACTGAAATTCAATATTTTGCCAGTGAAAGGGAGAGTAAAGTGATTTTATTCTAGGAGCAGCAACTTTGGTTACGAGTGGTAGAGCATTTGGATGCCCTGGAAATGTGATGTGATGGTAGCAGAGAAAACTTTCTATGGAGAAAATCAGCTGCCATCCAGTGGATGGTAGTAGTGATCTTAATTCCTCAGCGTCAGCAAAACTGAATGGTTTTCTGGAGACTGTGGCATAGTTCCCAGCCCACCATCGTGGCTGCTACGAAGAGTATTAGGCAACTATTGGGAGAGGGGTGTTTCAGAAGAGTCACCTGACTCCTAATGCAAAGGCAGTTGCAGTGTTGGCGATCTCTCCTTTTGCCCCTCTCACGCATCCTGCCGTTCCTCGTCTATTGTGAATTCTGAGCATTGTGTGCTTGCTTTAGAGCAGGCTGTGGGAGGGACTAAGTGACTGTTTCCTTTTTTAGGTGAGAGTGTGCCCTTGACTGTGTCTATGCCAAATCGTATTGCTGTGCCAGTGACCTTGGCTAGCCAGCAGGCAACTGTGGCAGCAAGAACAGCCACTCTGGAACAGCTGAGGGAGAGACTGGAGTCTGGAGAGCCTCCAGAGAAGAAGGTCTCGCGAATGACAGAGGAGGAGCAGCGGCTTGTCCAGCAGGCTCTTCAGCGCAACCTGTTCAGCATGGCACGGCAGATTCCCATGAAGATCAAAATCAATGGCAAGGGTAAGCTGTGCCTCTAGATAAACAAAAGGTCTTTGCAAGCTGCAGCAGGGAGGGAACTGTTCCCAATCTAGAGCGTCAAACACATCTTTACACACAGGCTTGATCATCTCTCTGGACACTGGGCAGAGGTCACTGCCAATAAGTTATTGGAGTGGACCACTATAACTGCAAAGCTAAACTGTAGCAACATTTCATTAGTTTTTACTTACCACTGCTATTTTTCTTCTATTCCTGTTGACACGTGACCCAGTCTGGATTCAGAAGCAACCTGGCTGCCTTCGGGAAGCTCTGCCTCTAAGCTAATAAATCCCGCTTGACCCTCAAACAAGACCCTCACTCTGAATGAACTTATTAGTTTGTGTGTGGGTTGACCACAGTCAGATTACTTCAGGATTCAAGCTGTTGCACCTTCACAGGACTTGCACTTTGGGGAATTGCCGGTTTCAGTTAATGTTAGCCCAGTTTTCTTTGCATTCGGTGCCCTTGCGTGCTATAAGCATGCTCCTTCATTCACGGAAAACACGTGAGTCAGATGACATTGCTTTGGGCCCCATACCTCACAGCTCTGTGTTTAATATCTTGCGTGTACTTCAGAGCAGAGAGCCTGATTTAGCCTAGCCGAAGGCAGTCTTGTGATTATGTAGTCTATAAGAAGACTTTTGGAGAGGAAGCCCTGTTACGTGCCGGATGTGCTGCCCATCAACCAGAGTGTGCTTTCCTCTGCTTTGCCCTGCTCTCCTTGGAGCCTGATGCCAGCACTGAGCTGCAAGGAATTATTACTGCCCTTTCCTGGTTAGGGAACTCTCTTAATTGATCACTGAAGTCACAGCTTGTTTTGGAAGGATGGCACTGCAGGAGGCAGTTAGGGGAGAGAGATGCCCAGCTTTTAGGAATCATTTGTCAGGTGTAAGGAGGAGGCTACAAAAGATCTGTGTATCTGCAGGGGCCCACCATATCCCAGAGCTTTTAGCAAGTCAGGTGATTTTGGCCAACATCTGCTGCAACCCTGCTCACAGCCTCCAGGCAAAGAACTCCTGGCAAGGCTGGGTTAGAAGGTCATGTATAAGCAGCATTCATGGCCTGGGAAATGCACTCCTGAAATGCTTTGTAAAAGGGGAGTCACCCTGTAAAGGTCACATTGTCAGAATCAATACTTTATATAATGACTTCAAAAGCTGATTAAACACAATGACTCCCTTACCTGTCCTGGGGGTGCACTTCACTGGACAGCAAAGCCTCAGCAGATTTCAGTCCCAACAGCTGTTTCCTGCAATCCTTTTGATCCATTAAAATTAAAGGGCTGAGACCCCTATTAATTGTACATTTGGATGCAGGCACAAGGCCAGGCAAGTTTGGCATTGTTTAGAGGAAAAGTTGTTCTTGAGGCTGTTGCTAGCAATGTTGGTAATGCTTCATTGAGACAGTTAACTCAACATAAGTATGGCAAAGGGTCAAAGCAAGTTCTCCTTCAAGGCAGTAGCAGTTTGTTGCCGAGTTAGATGAGATCAGGACTTCACATTACCTGTTCTGACAATTATGCACTCACCTAAATTTCACGTTTGCATTTAAAAAAAAAAAAAAAGTGAGTAAAAGAGAATACAAATGTTATGAAGTAATGTTCACTTCCTCTCATTTTGTTTTATTATTTTTCTTATCTTTCCACCCTGAACTTCCTAAATAAAAATGCTAGGAACTGTTTTCGTCTCTACAGATAGTAACATACTGATAGAAATGGAACGTCCTTGAAGATTGAACCCTAAACAGGATTCAACAGTACTGTTCTCACCTTTGTTAGGGGACTATGGGCAAGTCCGTTCTGTATTTTGTGCCTTAATTTCCCCAACTGCAAAATAAAAATAATGCTGTGCTTCTTTGTAAAGTGCTTTGAGAGGCACGTTTGGAAAGCACTACGTGAGATTATTATAACTTGACAGCAACTTTTAGGCTGCATGTTAACAATGTCCTTAGCAATCTTTACAGGGACAGTGGCCTTGCTATCCCAGCAGGCTGGAAAGGAGCTAAAAACATGCACTTCGTGTGCAGTGTCAGAGCCCGGGCAAACCGTCTCCATTGTCTCTCTCTGTTTTAATAGCACAGTGCCCCAAAACCAACATTGAGTGGGCCGGTAACCATGATACTGCTGTGCAAACTGTAAGCATGAATTCAGGAGCACAGAGAAGGAATCCTACATCCCCGATTCACAGTTAAAAATTGCTTAGGTTGGAGTTTTCAGAAACGTCCAGGAGAGTTTGACATTCAGCTCCCCTGAGACTTCAGTGCAAACTGCATACCTGCTGTGCATTGGCATTTGCAGAAATACTGCCTGCCCTTTGCGGAAATCTTGCCTGTAATGGCTTAAAAAAGAGTCTCCAGGCTGAGGACAGTGAAGAACCAGATTTCACATCCCACAGGAGCAGCCAAGCATACTGTTTCTAGCTTGGAGTCCTTGGCTCTTGGGTTGTCCCCCTCCCTCCAGGGGCCACTGTAGCTGCTGCAGCCTGGGCTTTGCACACCAGTAATGCACCAGCCCCCTGAGGAACTGCCACCGCTGTGGAAAGGACTGTGCATGTGCTCCTAGTCTACTGCAAATACTACCTTAATCCAGCTGATTTAGATATGGGCATGTCTTATTTGCTGACAGCTTTATCTTGGGGGGTTTTGTTAACCCTGACAAACCTACTTGAGATAGAAAACGCATAGCCCGTGTTGGGGATTATCTGTCTGCCAAGACTTTAGTTCCTCCCCCTTTCTCTCTACAAACTTGGTTCTCCGGTGCCTGAATCAGGAAGAGATTCAAAAACGTCAGTAGGAACCCAACCCCTACTCAATTCGCATTTAGGCACCTAATCGCTTTCGTTGACTTGTCCTTTAAGGGTATTGGAAGTACAGGTCATGTGGGGATCTCCTCGTTAAAAAAAGAGACAAAAGGAGGACTGTGTAAACCCTTGACCATCTCTGGATAGCGCTGGAAACAGGACAGTTATAATCTAACTCTGCATCTCTTCTTTCTCAAAAGAAGATAAACCAGACTCGGCGGCAGCAGCAGCACTGAATTTGTCACCTAACGGCATTGGGAGTATTAACATGTCGGTGGAGATTAACGGCACAATCTATGCTGGTGAGAAAGAACCAGGGTTCTGGGGATGTGTAGAGAGCCGGACTCGCAATGCAGAGTAGGATGCGGAGAGGGTGGTGTGCTCCCTGGGGCTGGTCATTTGCCAAAACCCAGCACACAAAACTTGGCCTACTTAAAGTTCAGTGGGAGAGGATTTCTTCTCTCTTTTTTGGTTCCAGTCTGTCAGGATAGTGTCCTTTCCTTTTCGTTGTGGTGGATAGTATTTTTTTTTAAACTAGGACGCATCTGAATGCCATTTCTTGGTGACTCCTTATTTGTGTAAGGAGATATTTTTATATTTTTATTCAGCTTTCTGCCATGATCTCTCTACACTTGAGTTTCCTAATGGAACCATTATATTAACAGTTCACAAGCGGTGTTTTGCTGTGGCAGAGAAAAAGGAACCTGGTGGGAAATTCACCTTTGACAGGGAAGGGACTTCTGTTTAAGTGTTAGCAGGAAGGGGAATTATCCCTCTTCACCTTCTGAGGAGCAACTTTCCTCAGCGTTTCCTTGCACTTCATTATAAAGCATGAATTGTTGTTATCCCATGTGTTCTGCTAGAGCTGTTTGACCTCTGCAGGTCACATTTATGCTTCCTTGAACAAAAACCACGTGGGAGGCCTGGCAGTGCAGTGCAGTAGCACACAAAGATGCTTCTCACCTCCAAAGGTGCTGAAGCAATTAGAAATCTTTCAGTTCTCTGTAGGCAAAATGCCCCTGTGGCAGAGGCAGCCAGAGCAAGTCCCTGGGCATCCCTTCTTATTTCCTTGTCGATCCATCTCCAAGCCTGCTTATTTTGCAGTGGGCCTCATGCTCTTAGGTTTCGCTGAGCTCCCCTCTGAGGTCTCTGGGGTCAGATAGACCGTTCCTTGCTCTGTACCGTATCCTTCTCAGCTGTGTCACCCCATAGTCCCAGTAACCATTTTATTTCCCTGTCTGTGCCTTGCAGGAGTGCTGTTTGCCCAGAAGCCAGTCGTCCACCTCATTGCAGGCTCCAGCACCCAAAGTTCCTGCAGCAGCAGCAGCAGCTCCCACTGCTCTCCCAGCCCTACCTCATCCCGGGGAACCCCCAGTGCAGAGCCCTCCACCAGCTGGTCTCTCTGATGGACGGCAGAGCTTGCTGTCTCTCACACTGGCCTCCGGCAGCTCAGTCCTCTCTGCTCACGGCAGGGAGTGAGCCGGGAAGGAGTCGCACAGATTACCTCATCTCAAGGAACCTGCTTTGTGGTTGGCCAACGGCAAGATGATGATACTGAAACCTTTCCATGCCAGCGAGTTTTTCCTCATCATCTGTTTGTCCAGCCCTTTTCTTTGTTCTCCCCTTTCTTCCTCCCTTTTACTTTTGTTTTCTTCCTCCTCCTCCCAGGGTTTGCTGTGTTCCTGATGGGGGGTGGGACACGGAGAAGGGGGCACACCTGGCGTTTTTCAATCAGGGATCGTCTCTAGGAGCTGTGGGCTGATAGATGGCTGAGACGTCACCAAGGCAGGTGGAAAGAGCTGGAGTTGGGGCAGGGAAATGGGGTTCTCCTTGAACCAGTAGCCCCACAGACTCTTCCCGTAAAACAACTCCGTGTATTGACAATCCTAACAGCCAGCAGGGTGCCTTGCCCCTGTCCTTCGTTGGCTTTTGCTGCAGAAGGTCACGCAGCTGTAGAGCAGGCGAGCTTCCTCGCTTTTCTTCAACCTGCATCATGGTCCAGTGTTCGTATGTTCTCCCCTGGGTGCCAGACTTGGCTAGAGCACATGGCCCCTGCTTGTGGAGTCACGAGAGACTTTATGAGCCTCTTTCCCCCTCTGTGAGGTCTTGGCACCACAGGGAGGACTTTCCCACCACTATGTTTGATCCACAGAGACAGAAAAAAGACTGATCAGCTGCTTCATTCTGGCTGGTGCGGGCCTGTTTCCTCCTGCTGCTTTCTGCAGGCCTCCAGCAAAGTTTTAAATGCTCTAGAGCTTGTCTCTCTCCCCATAGGAAATTCATCCACTGTGACATTTACCCTGAAAGCCTGAACTTACTTTTGCTCGGTTTTGATCCTCAGCCGCTTGACACAAAAGGGCTGTCACTTTAGTTGATCTAGGCTTCCTGGAGTGACTTTGTTCTTTTAAGGTGTATTTCAGTAGCCCCTGGAAGTTCTCCACATCCATGCACTGAGAAAACAGAAGGTGATATTTAAAATCTACTTAAGTGGGGCTGTGTTGTGTATGTATATATTATGGTTAACGTATAACACTTCTTTTAGTTGCTCTCTGAACAAGCCTCCGGAAGCTCGGTCCCCTTCAGATTGTTTGGGAGCAAAAAGAAAGAAGCTCTCAGTCAAATAAGACCTTTTGCTCTCCTGGATGGAAGCAGAAAAAACTAAATCATTGCCGTTTCCCTTCAAACCTCCAATTTAAAGCAAACTAAAACTGGCCATGGTTCTTCTGGAGCCAACCAAGCTAACTTTGTGGCTCCGTGAACCCAGCTCCTGCTCACGTGGCCTCACCCTGTCCTCTCTTCTCCTGCTGTGTATTGGGCTGGCCTTTCCCACGCACATCTCCCCCAGCCTGGAGATCAGCTCCAAGCACCATCCATCCTGCCCTGGTGACGTCCTTTCCATCCTCCAGGCCCAAGTCAGGTTTTTTTGAGCAGATGAAATACCTCAGATATGTACTTGTTGGGTTTTTTGTTTGTTTGGGGGGTGTTTTTTTTTACCTCTTCAGGAAGTATTGGCATATCTTAACGCTTGGGTTTTTTTTATATGTGGTTTTGCTGACATTGTGTTTATTTTTTATTTTTAATTGTAGCACCAAAGACAAACAAAAAAACAAAGCTGAGTGAAGGAGCAGTGGCTTCCCCAGCCTTTAGGCTAGCCAGGAGAGTAGTTGAACAGTATTGTCCCAGGACATGCGCATGATGCAGGAGGACAGGTAGAGGTAGGAAAAAGGGACGAGACTGACTGCTGAGTTAGAGAATCTGTCCTTCTTGTTGGACATCAGGAGGTCTCCAGGGTCCCCATTCTTGTTTCAGTACTTCATAATCTGTGTCTTTAGCAAAAATTCTTAGTGCAGCGGGAACATGACAGCACTGCTTACACCACAGATTTGCCAGGCCTCTCACAGCAAAGTGGTTTCTGACAGCTGAAAGCACAGTTTGATCTGGTGGCTTTGCACAGGACCAACCTCCTCAGCTAAGTTTGTGTTATTCTGGGGTCATTAGATGCGCAGGCACAACACAGTTCAATTCTGTCTACTCTACAAGTCCAAGCTGTGTTGGGTGCTACATTACTGGAGCCGTTGCGAGAGCAGCTGTGAGAGTCACCAAAATAACAGAAGTTACTCCAGTTTCAGTTTTCACCTATATGTAGGGGCCAGTTACCAAACTGTGTAATGACTGTCCTAACTAGTAAATTTATTACAATCTAAGTCAAAACCGTATCAGAGCTCCAGAGATTCGGCTTGCTTTAAAAACTAGTTTTTAAAAGCCAGGAGTGTGGCTGGAGAGTCATCACATGCTCCCCAGCAAGCGGACAGGTAGTTGGTCCTTCTGGATGTCTGTACTACCACCATGTTTGTGGACTTTTGTTGCTCTTTTGTTGCCTTCAAGTTTCTAGCAGTTCCTTTAACTGGTCTTTGTCTGAGACCTCTGACGCTAATCACCCATTAGCTGTCAGTGCTATGTTTCTTCTCCCAGTGAATGAAGATCTTTCTCTCTTCAACTGGAGACAAAGGAAGGTGGTTACCCACCATCTTACCGCTCCAGAGGTTCTCACCTCAGTAAGTGGAGCTGAGCCACACTATTGTAGGGAATTTCAGCCCACAATTAGATGAGCAGAGACCAAGAGTTATCTCTGAATGAATGTGGTGTCATACCAGGATGGGAACGTAGCCTTGGAACTGCTTTCCAAGGTGAGCTGAGCTGTTGGGAGCATTTAGCTCTGTGAAAGACAAGAATTTGGAAGCACTGCTACAAGTATAGACTATGCCTTTCTGCCTGCAGAGCTGGGCCAAAGCCACTGAACTCTTTCACCAGTCTAAAAGCATCTTTCACTTCCACATCCAGCCTTCAGGTCCCCAAGCGCTTGTATACGCTAAGTTGATCTGCAGAGGGTGGGAGCACAGCTGCCTGATGCAGTTCGTGTCCTTCCTGGGATATACTGCGAGTGACTCTTTGTGGCCTGTCTGTGTCCCGGGCCGGCCGGTGGGTGGGCCCCGGGTGGCTGGGAGCCGCTGGCACGCTCCCTGTGTTCCCAGCGCGTCCGGCTCCCTGAGGCTGTTCATTTCGTACTGCTGAAAAGAACGTAGCTTTAAAAAATACGAAGCCAGATACTGCCACAGGAAAAGCCCTGTCAGCAGCCCAACAATTGGGCCTAAAGTGTATATAGAAAACTAAATGAATAATCCTTTTGTTAAACTTACAGACTACATGTTCTCCCTTTTACTCCCACAGCACTACTCAGCAGGGCTTCTTTTCGGTCCTGTACTGATGGGCAGAAATGTTGTGTTCACAGCCGAGATCTGTGATGTGTCAATTTTCCTTTCCTTCTGTTTGAAGCTCAAGTAACAGGGGTGGTCTCATACCTCATGTTCAGGCTTGTGTAAACCACAGATGGGACCTCCTTGTTGCGAGAGGCCTTGCACTCTCTATATGTTAGTTTATATAATACAGCTTGAGTGCTGTTGCTAGCAGACATTGTGATGACTTGGTAGAGGAAGAGATAAAGTGCTGGGAATGCACATGTCCTGAGATAGATTCTGCTCCGAGATGTCCCATCTCCAGCTGCTTTTAGTGGAAAAGTAACAACCACCCCGATACTTATGGGGAAGCAGAGCTGCTCTTTGGCTGCAGGGCGTTTTGCTTGGCGGATAACGCAGGCCTCCAAGGCATTTCACTGTCTCAGACTCGGAAATGATTTTCCAGACTCTGTGACTCATTCAA